TGCATCTGGGACAGGACTGTGATGTTCTCTGCGTGTCTCTCTGCAGTTTGCCTCTGCGCTTCTGGGTCAATATCCTGAAGAACCCTCAGTTTGTGTTTGATATCGATAAGACGGATCACATGGACGCCTGTCTGTCTGTCATCGCTCAGGCTTTCATTGACGCCTGCTCTCTCTCTGACCTGCAGCTGGGCAAAGTAAGAACACACACACACTTCATAACTATTACTATGTGTGTCTATATGGCTGAAAGAATATAAACATGTTTCTGTCCATATATGGAAATGGAAGCTTTCATCACAGGAGCATCTCTTCCTACGACATCAAAAGAGAAAAGTCATGTGAGCTCTTTAAATGAGCGGTTTGAGGGAGTGAGGGAATGACCTTTGTGGTCAGATTCTCTCATACTGCAGTGGTCTGCCATTGATGTCTAAAGGTGTAGTCACCTTTGCAAGCAAAAACAGGTCCATTGTCTATCGTCATGTATGAAGCACAGCTCACACAGAAGACACTTTCAAACCAAGCAGGCTTCTGGTGGTCAACGCTGCAAATTCATGTGACCAACTTGAAAATAAGCAAAACCTGCACTCCCAATCACACAGATTCCTATTGGAATGACTGGATATCACATGCACATTTCACAGAGCAATGTGAGCGCATTTTAAGGATTAAACCAGACAGGAAGTAGAGAGGAGAAATGTAGAGTACAGGTCACATATATTTTCAGCTCAACCAGTCATCAGTTCAAACCAGTGTTCATTTGGCAAGAATTAATAGAGTCTGAACCAATAAAAGATTGCAGCAGGTTTGATTTGTATGTTTGCTGATAGTTAAGCATACATCTGACTGAATCAATCTCTGACTGATTTTAAAAGAGTCTTGATCATTAATGACACATTATAATCTCTATGATCACAATCAAAGTCATGCAGCGTCGTACACATTCTGCATCTAATCGCTTGCTTGCTTTATTATAGGATTCTCCCACCAATAAACTGCTGTATGCCAAAGAGATCCCGGAGTATAAGAAGAGAGTGCAGTGTTACTACAAACAGATTCAAGAGATGGCGCCGCTGAGCGAGCAGGAAATGAACGCTCACCTGGCCGAGGAGTCGCGGGTGAGCCAAGTGCACACTTCTGATCATACTGCCTCGTTTTTTACACAGGCATCTGAGCTGTGAAACAGAGACCAGTTCATTTCACAATACACATTGTTTCAAAGTAGCTTTGCAGAAAATCATGACGTTAAAGTTTATAATATCTTAATATCTTCATGCCGTCTAGTCACATTTAGCAGATTTGAGCTGGACGATTATATAGTTACATTATGAGATGATACTGTATATAAACAATCACGCAGTTGAGATTTGCATATATCACGTTACGTGAGTGTACTGTATGCAAGATTGGATATACTTAGAGCAGCTGTATATGTTAATAATTATTAATTCTAATCACCTGCATTATATATTTTAAATATGCCAGAATACAGAAATATCAAGTTTGTATACTTACAAAGTATACTATACGTTTGTATACTTACAAAGAATTTCTGAATGGTTTTTGCCGCAGAGATACAGGAATGAGTTCAACACTAACCTGGCCATAATGGAAGTCTACAAGTATGCCAAAAGATATCGCAATCAAGTGAGTCGTTCCTCCTGCTGTCTGTCTTCACACCTGCGGTGGTGTAACTGTCCTGAGCGTGTGTGAGCGTGCCGGCAGCAGGATGCAGATGCCCCGGGCCGATGTGAAGGTCCATTCTTGAGCCGTGATTGAGCTCATTTCTGCTGACAGCTGTGCTCTGAATAGGGCTCATTTTACATGCGCAATCGTCTGGGGGTTTGCAAAACAATGCTGATTATCGTAAATGTGCAGTGCACTACAGGAGCTTGAAGGAGCTGGCTTGTGTTTGGATTCTCTCTTTTTCTTGTTGATCAGAGATCAGATTTTTTTTTAGCATTTCCAACTTAAATACATTTAGTTTTGCAGTCTGAACAGATAACAATGCATGTGCTCATTTCAAACTTAAAGGTGAAGTTTGCAGTTCCCGAGTTCGATTCCCGTCTCGAGGTCTTTTGCCGAATCCGCTCCCCTCTCCTCCCAATGCTTTCCTGTCATCTCTCGACTGTCCTTTCCCAATAAAGGCATAAAAAGCCCATAAATATATAAAAAATAAATAAAGCATATTTTCAAACAACCTTTGCCCCTTACACTCATCACACTTTTGTGTTTACTCTTATACTTAAAATATCTATTTTATGTGGGGCTTGACAGTAAAAAGCTAAAAAAAATGTGTGGGATAAGCTTGAGTTTAGCTTGCCTGTTGAGAAGAACCTCTGCAAGTTTGTCATCTCGATTGAATCCCAAACGTACCATTAAATTCCTCCATTTTGTAAATGCACTGCCAGTGCCAGTCTGTCTCTGCGTATTTTGGCAATTTTTTTGAATTTTTACTTTTACTTCTGTGCACCGAATCTGAATTTCTTTTCCCATGCAATGCATCAGCCATGTTCCCACACCGGGTAAACACTCTCTGGCTCAGCCTACTATAGCAGCCACACCCCAAACTCAACATTCTACAGAAGCCACACCCCAAACTCAACATTCTACAGTAGCTACACCCCAAACTCAACCTGCTACAGCAGCCACACCCCAAACTCAACATTCTACTACGGCAGCCACACCCCAAACTCAGCCTGCTACAGTAGCCACAACCCAAACTCAGCCTGCTACAGTAGCCACAACCCAAACTCAACATTCTACAGAAGCCACACCCCAAACTCAACATTCTACAGTAGCTACAACCCAAACTCAGCCTACTACGGCAGCCACACCCCAAACTCAGCCTGCTACAGTACCCACAACCCAAACTCAGCCTGCTACAGTAGCCACAACCCAAACTCAGCCGTCTACAGTAACCACACAAAAACCCAGCCTGCTACGATAACCACGCCCCAAACCCAGCCTGCTACAGTAACCACACACAAACTCAGCCTGCTACAGTAGCCACAACCGAAACTCAGCCTGCTACAGTACCCACACCCCAAACCCAGCCTGCTACAGTACCCACAACCCAAACTCAGCCTGCTACAGTAGCCACAACCCAAACTCAGCCGTCTACAGTAACCACACAAAAACCCAGCCTGCTACGATAACCACGCCCCAAACCCAGCCTGCTACAGTAACCACACACAAACTCAGCTTGCTACATGCCTTAGCCTGCCCATGAAATCTGAACTGTTTCCTATATGCAATGTGCACTGATTACAGCACGCTGAAAGGGATACAATTCTGCAGTGTTTTAGTACTTGACTCAAGCCCAAGTCCAAGACCATATTTTCAGGAGCGTTTGACTTTGGCCTGGACTCGGACTTGAATGAGCTGGTCTCAACCAGTCTTAGAAAATATGGTCTTGGACTTGAGTCTGTACTCGAGTACTACAGCACTGCAGTTCTGAATGTTTTAGCTGCTGTATTTTAAAACAAATAAACGGATAGAAATTGTTTTGTGATCTGTTTTTTCATCTAACTGATCTCAGAATACCGTTAAAAAAATATTTCAAATAAACTAAGTATATATTGATGTGTGTGTGTGTCTCAGGTGGTGAGCGCGCTGGACTCGAGCCCGACGGCTCGACGCACTCAGCTGCAGCACAAGTTTGAGCAGGTCATTGCGCTGGTGGAAGACAACATCTATGAGTGCAGCAGTGAGGCCTGAGCCCACATTCATTCCCCTGACCGCTGCCTCAAAGAACAGAAGCCCTGACATCCATATCTGATCAAAACTGTCCCACATTTACTGAACCAATGAGGATAATCAAGTGAAGTAGTGAGGGGGAAACGCCCATGTTTCACCGCTTGTTCTTGCTATGATGAGTTTATTGATTTTCTATTGCTATAGTATTCAATTATTGACTTTGAATTAGGAGTTTGTTTAATTAATTGAGGACTCCAGGGTCCTGGGGCCCTGCAGTCATGTGACGCACTGACCCCACGCTTGGGGAGAGCCAGTTATGCACTGGATTATACAAGACCTTCTCCATAGCAATATTTATAGCTGTATGATGATTTCATAGTGTTATTTGAATAACGTTTCTGATGGGATATTTGTGCCTGCACTGTTCAACGGCAGTCCATTTTAAACCCACAATGCCTTGGACTACAAGTTACTATATGATTAACAAAATAGGCTTGAATGAGACTGTTGCATTTGTATTAATTATTATTATTTGAAGGGTTTGGGTCTTTCTTGAATGGGTCCAAACCAATGTGTGTGCATAATTTTTGTAGATATTCTGCTGGAATTGTTTAATTTTTTTTGGAGAAAGAGGGACATTTTATCAATAAAGACAAACTTTACTAAAACATTGCGTAACAATCCCAGTTTTCTTTGTCATGGTTTTTAGTAAACATTTTTGGTTTTACATTAACTTTTATTTCTGCTTTGCCCCTGTATTTTGTAATCTGCAGACAATGTCATGTCTTTACACATTTACATATTCTTCCACAGATGACATTTACATCTAAACGTTCAGAGAACTGTTTCGCTGGGTGTGTGGTGAATCTCCTGAGGTCTCGTCTGGCTCCAGCACTCAGTCTCATCAACATCAAACTTTATAAAGAAACAAGCACATGGACTCAGAACTTAAGCCTACAAAAGGTTAACTGGTCAAAATCAGAACATGACTTTACAAAATCATAACTGATCATAGCTAAATACTCATCTAACAGCTGGATTATCAGCCAAAACTATTGGAACAGCTGTTGAGATAAATACATGGGAATGCCATCAAGTTACTAAACACATTGCAAGTATTTTCCATGTAAATACACAATCACATGCAGCACAAACACAGCAGTATTATAGAGATCTGATTGGCCAGTTTTTACAAAACGTGTAAGATTCCAGGGCAGAAATAAGTGAAGTAGTAGATGTAGTTGCAGACGGGATGATGTGGAGTGACATATGTGTCCTGTAGGAGGCTTCTGGGTGCATTTGTCCAGCTGTCGGTCAGGCGGCAGCCACCTGACTGGATGAGACCACAGAGGACTGAGTCTTACTGGAGGCCGTCATGCTGGTCTCCTCCTCACCAAACGGGTTCTTTCCACAGCAGACCGTAGTGAGCATGCAGTTCCTGAACTGGACCAATGTAAACACATCCAGTATTATGGCAAACAAACTTTCACGAGACACTCATCATGAAGTAGTTAACATGTCACTTTGGTTAAATGCCTGACGTGAGCAGAGCTTGTTGCTTTTATATATACAGCAGATTTCAGCTGCCTGTTGTAGCTACTCTGTCAATTAAAATTGTAAATAATGAAGCTACAGCTTATGAAGTTGAACCATTCTGTGTATTAGCCATTAGCCTGCAAGCTTATTAGATGTTATGAGGTTTGATCATTTGGTAAGAACATGCAATAAAAATGTTGAGATCCACACTACAACTTGTGACAGCCACAGCTGTAATTTTTCATCAATTAGATTTAAATAAACTATATCAGTTAAACCTGTTACAGTTAGTATGCTGAAACTGTGACAGGCATGTAGATTGTAATTTGGTGGATAGCACTGTGGTGTCTGCTCTTCTTCTCTTCAGTGTTTTTCATAATGCACAGCTGTCTAACCGTTTGAGATGTTTGAGCTCCTCAATAATGTTTTAAAACAGATTATACAATAGTTAATGATGATAATTTGATGATCTGAGCAGTATTTCACGGTGATATACAGCCACGTGACTTCCTGTATGAGTGAGTCATTGAATTATTCACTCAACCATTTATTCAAAAACACTGATGGAATGAATGAAAGAGCACTTCTGTGTGTTCCTGCCATGTCTTTCTTTAGAACTGTTTTTACATTTACGTAATATTGTAGTAGTATACTTAGTATGTAGTACATGATTTAGAACGGTCTCACCTGTCTGTTGAGAATGATGTAGATGACAGGGTTGTAAAGCGCTGCACTCTTAGCAAAGAAAGCAGGTATCGTCATGACTACAGGACCAAACTCCGCCCCCTGATTACCAAAGATGTACCAGGCCACACTGGCATACGGCACCCAGCACACTAAGAACGAGATCACCATGACAACCACCATACGTGTCACTTCCCGTTCGGCCCTCTGGGTCGTCTCTGATTCCTGCTGCTGAGCAGCGGC